TGTAGATGAGCGAAAAAAGTGAACGAGAAGCGAAAGAAGCACGGGAGCAGCGAAAACGTGAGTGAGCGAAAAACGGCGGGAAGGGAGAAGGGGAGAGCATGTAGCATCTCCTTAAATACCTTAACCTGAGATCAGGCTCAATTTTCGTTTCGCTTTTTAGATAACATTCCGGCGGGCAAGGCGAAACGAAAACAGAGCCTGATACAAATCTTCTACGAAAAGTCTGCCGCTCACTTTTTTGATTGATTGACATTTGCTGAATCAGCCAACCAAAATTACTTCCGCTGCTTGTTTTTTTAGTATACAAATTTTTCATATGGGGGAAAACTGCAGACTCGCTGACTTAAAAAATAGCTTTTACCTTTTTAATTTTTTAAACTAAAAATAAAACAGTCAGCACAGTCACATTTAACTTTTTACAAGATTAAAAGAGATCTCGAAGGTTATTTATGTTGGCGTAGAAGGTAAAAAGTTTTCGAAAAGACGGCGACACAATGTTCTAGTTTTAAAACATCTTTCGACCGCTTGAGGTTTCAACCCGGAAAAATAATCGGGACACTGGAGCTGACACAAACCATACCGTAAACTTTCGCTCATAAACCTTCCCCGACCCCCACTTATAAGCCACCCCTTCCCGGGCCCCCGCTATAAGCCCATCTTCTTGTAAACAATTAAATACATCCAGTTATAAGCCCTTACGATCCTCCTTCTTTATTGCGGATCCTGTTTTAAACAGTCTAACTTTTTAACTCCATCAGATGGTACCTTTTCCATCCTATTGATCATTGATAGTTATGTTAAAAGTTTAGAGCCACTGGGTTCCTTTTTGTTTACTGGTGTCGCCGTGAAAGAATTGACATCTCCGACATCTCTCCGTCACTGGATTTGTCAAAAACACTCTCACTACGGTGTTTAATATAAGCAGAATCACATTTACAGTCCTCACATTCAGAGTTATTGTCAAGGTCTTGCCTTAAATTCAGAGGAGGCAATGATGACAGAAATGGAATTTATTCATCTCCTAAGGAGGTAATTTCCGACGCCATTTTGTTTGTTAATCCTTTGCAAGGCACTCTCTTGCAAAAAATGCGCGCGAGAGTCACACGAGATGGCACAAACTGTGCTAAAAATAACACATTTAATGGCTATGATATATAACCCATCTCTGGAAAAGGTATCCAGTTACGGTCTCGTACCCCGACTTATATATATATCGCTCCTGGCAGAGTATGAAAAAGTAATTTTGAGCCTTCTTCAGTATGTTATAAACGTAACTACAAACTACAAACAAATTACAAACTTGAGCGTTGGTTATGATCTAAAAGTTTAATTCATAAGATAGTTGCGTACCATACCTGATTTAGCTACCCATAGGTTGCAATATGTTACATATGTCAATATAGGAAGTGGAACACAGAAGGCAGTACGTTTCAATTCCCCCCTGGGGGAGGAGTAGGGCTTTCCACAAGTTGCTCCAGATTTCCTAAAAAGTTTCCCGTTTTTTGTCAAAAAGTTGCTCAAAAGTTGCTAAAAGAGAGTTAAATGTTGCTCAAAAAAACAATACCTTCTTTTTTGTTGCTCTCTTCCTTTATTTAGTCTGATGCAAAAATATGCAAACAAAAGTAAGATTTCTAAGCATTTCTGTGCAATTTCGCAGCACAATTAGCGTTGCTAGATATAGTTCAGTCAATCTAGGCATTCTTGAGGCTCAACATCAAACTAATTGCAACAATTTTTTTTCCAAATCCATTAAAGTAAGGGTGGCGTATTTAGCAATATACTAAAAATCCGCCAAAATCCGTTCGGTGGAACATGTCAAAATTGAGTATTAAAAATTTTGAGCTTTTAACACAGGACACCCACGTTAGTTGAAACGAAAACTGCAAAAAAAATGAGCTTGTTACTTTTCCGGAAAACTTACTGCCCTTTTCACAAACATGAGAACTCTAAAGTTCAAAAGCCGCCTTCACAATTGCGTTTTTCGCCGCCGTCAATCATAATTACGATCACAAGCAACGAACCTTCAAATACAGAAACACACAAAACGGATCGAAATCCACCAATCACAAATCACAAACCTCTTCCTTTTGAACCTGTTAAAGATGATTGACTGCAGCGAAAAACGCAATCGTCAGTTGGCTTTTGAACTTCAGAATTCGCATGTTTGTGAAAAGCGCAGTAAAAAGAAAGCAAAAATAGCTGCTTCGTAAGAAGTGCTTCTTTTTTGCACAAAAGATCAATTTTAAACACGGTTGGCTATTGCACAGGAAGCCCGTGCTCCGTTCCAGGAAGCCCAAAATAACAGGGGGTTTATAATATAGTAGACCGAACTGTTAGCTGTAAAATTACAACAAACTTAGTTTAAAACTGAAAAATGAAAGCCGTTACGTCCAAAATAGAGCTCCCCCCTCAGACAGTCAAAGAGATGTCAACATAAAAAGTAAGAGCGCAGTCGGTGATTCTTTTTCTTCTCATCTTTACTTTCTCCTTGCTCTTTCTA